AGTTGTGAACGATGGAGAAAAAAAATTTGCCGCAATCAACGCATACGTTTCGGGGTGAGAAGATCATCATGGGATACATCACAGAAAATTTTCCCTCTGAAATAGAAAAAGATCAAAGAGATAGCAATTAGTTGTGAACGATGGAGAAAAAAAATATATATATATATATATATATATATACAATATCAAGAGAAGCTAATTCTATAGCGATTATGTGCAATGTAACATGGGAAAGAATTGAACTTACGACACTCGTGTATAAAGCCCGTACATAGAGTCAAGAGAAAAATCCAAAAGTCAATGTAAATGAATAATGATTACGGATCAAGAAAAAGAAATGTAAGTAACAACGAAATTATCCTTTTGCTTGATTTTTTTGATCCTCCAATTTTTTTCTCATATTTATTTAAACGACAGCACGTGCTCAAGTCTCTTACTTGTTAACTTTATATTTACAATGCTTTGTCTTATACAGTCTAATATTGTCAGGATAATAATGTAGTCTCGCGTGCGACCGCAGTCGATGTTTGTGTTTGAACTTCTTTCCACACGTGGGACACTCGAATTTTGGCTCCTTGCCACACTCGAGTCGCTGATGTTTTCTTAAAGAGTCTCGCCATGCGTATTGTTTTCCACACCGGAAGCAACTCCAGATCTTCGTACGGAAGGCTGGAAAAGAGATTGATGGAAATTATATTAGTAACACTTTACTATCTTTATTCTTGACTTTGTATCGTGCTTATATTAGCGAAAAAAAATAAGGACGGTACACTACACTGTTAGGGATCTTTTTTTGACAATAACGTGATAAAGAAGAAAATGTAATTTTTGTGTCGTTAATTTTTTTTTCTAGCACTTTTTTTTTTTTTTTTTTTTTACAAATCTATTCGGTGTATACATTTCACGTGCGATTGCCAACGATGTTTGTGCTTGAATTTTCTTCCACATATCCGACACGTATATGCTGGCTCTTTTCCACATTCCACACGTATGTGATTCTTCAACGAGCCATGAGACTGGTAATGTTTTTTTGGCTTTTTTTTTTTTTTTTTTTTTTTACAAATCTATTCGGTGTATACATTTCACGTGCGATTGCCAACGATGTTTGTGCTTGAATTTTCTTCCACATATCCGACACGTATATGCTGGCTCTTTTCCACATTCCACACGTATGTGATTCTTCAACGAGCCATGAGACTGGTAACGTTTACCACACTGCGAGCAGATCCAATTTTTTCTTGAGAAAACTGAAAAAGAAATATTTCAATATCAGTCCGAGGATTCTTTGACAGTTATGGAATGGCGGCAATTTCAAACACCTTTTTTTTTTATTTTTTTTTTTATTTAACTCTTTCGTATGCAAACTACGATAATCGTATAGAATGCAAATATAACTTATATTTTATTAAACATAACGATTCTATATGTATACAAAGTTTGTACAACGAATTGGAAGGATAGCAGGAATATTATTAAATCGATCGATATTGTCTTTGCTAAGTGGACTCAAATTTTCTTTTTTTTTTTTTTTATTGATCCACATTGACCCAATTAAAATCAGCGCTATGACGTATTAAACCAGATTTTATTATCCTTGCACTCGCTGTAATCAACCGATGGCGTATTTCCTTTGTGTACTGTTTTCAGATGCTTTATAAGATGATGCTTCTGCTTGAACCTCTTTCCGCAAATAATGCAGACGAATTGTCTTTCCTTGCCGCATATTCCCGTATGATTCCACATGGTTTTCTTGTTGACGTAGACTTTACCACAGATACGACAAGGGTAGACGTTAGTGGCCAGGAGTGCTGAAAAAAAAAAAAACGTTTTCCAAAAATACACAGACGAACAAATATAAGGTACATAAGAACGTAAATGTGATTAAACTTTTTCTTTTTTCATCTCTTTTTTTTTTCTAAGACCAATACCCAGTCAAAAATATTACACGTAATTTTGCAAACGAGCAGGATCGGTATAAAAATCCATATCGTAAATACAATCAATTAATTCGACTCTTGAAATCTGTCAGGTCGAATAAATCATTGATTGACAATCGGAGATTAATTAATGGACGTCATACGTTAAAATTTCATACCCAATCAAACTGCACACGAGCTTACATTTTTTTTCTTATATTAGAAATACACATTTTTGGCTACTTGCCACGGGAACAAAAATGATTTCTGAGCACGTGTTTTGCAGCATACACGACCTTCAAGATACGCTATGGGAATTTACCCATCTGAAAGATAAATGAGAATTCGAGATATTTTGAAAAAATACAATGTATATTTCGATTCATTTCCAATTGCGCCAACCGATTGATATTATGAATATCGATCATCGAAGACACTCTAGGAAGGAGGGAGGGGGGGAGGGGTATGTTATATA